GCACTAGTTCCAACAGATGGCCATCGAGCCTTTATTTAAAAGTCTCTAAGAAAAGAGAGAGATTCCACTACATCCAAGGCAGTGTGGATTTCACTGTCAAACAGCTCTTATTGCCAGGAAGTTTTTCCTAATGTTCAGGTGGAATCTCTTTTTCTGTAGTTTACATCCATTGCTCCCTGTCCAAGTCTCTGGAGCAGCAGACAACAAGCTTGCTCCTTCCTTAATGTGACATCCCTTCAAATAGTTATACATGGCTATCATATCACTGCTTAACCTTCTCTTCCCCAGGTTAAACATACCCAATTCCCTAAGCCACTCCTCATAGGGCATTGTTTCCACACCTTTTTCTCCACACCTCAGGAGAAACCAGGAAGGCTCCAGTCAACTGTAGGGATAGTCATCTCAACCTTACTAGATGATGGCCCCTTCTTTACTGGGTCTGGGTCACCAACTCCTTATCTCATGATATTAAATAAAATGTTGAATCTGAACTGAGAGGTGGAGATCTCAGTCTCACCAGCTGTTTGGACCTAGCATGACATCACACCAAAAGGGAGAAGGACAAAGGAGGACCTTCATAAAATTTACACCCATTACTTTGGAAAGAATTACCAGACTGCTTGTTTCACTCCAGTGGAGAAGGCTGTATGCCTGAGTAGCAAAGGTGCTCCTATGCAAACTACTATCCAGGTTCTGAATGTTGATGAGCAAATTAAAGGTCTCTTCTCTCACTTCTGATGGTTCTCTATTTTTAAAAGCAGACTAGGGCAGGAATTCCACTGTTGAAGGGTGGGAATCATGCAGCCTATGGTCCACATGCAGTCCTTAAGGGTTCTTGTGCAAGCCTTGGGACCCACGTCAACTGCTTAAAGACCCTGGCACCCTTGTTTAATTTTTTTGCCCTGGAAAAAAGAGGGCCTAAGAAACTCCAACACTTCTGCAGATCTACTGCATGCTGTTTCATTTCCCGTCCTGCTACAGCAAAACCCACCCTGAAAATAGCCTGAGATGTGACTGGAAGTGACACATCATCATTTCTGTTTGTCAAAATGGTGGTAGTTGTGATAATGCAGATTTTGCCTTATGGAGTTCCAGAAGGACTGGAAAAAAATCAGACATGGTCCTTCAGGCACTAGACTGCATCTTCCCCAGCTATTATGAGCCCAAACCATAGCAAACCTATGGAATCAATGGGATTTGCCTATGTAGCCATTCAACAGTTTTGTCAGAGGCTTTACTCTCGTTGGGACTAATCTCATTTAGGGTCTTGTTCCATCTTTCAAATAGAATACAATCCTCTGTAAGGTGAGATGAGAGCTTGGAAAGTTCCCTTTTAAAAGTAATTTGTTGCTATATTGGTTAAAAAATAATTCATTGTTGTTACTTATGTCAGAGTTAAAACATAGAGTTAAAACATAATTTGTCATGTTAGTTGTTGAAATGCTGACTACTTTTCTACTACTTTTCTTTTTTAAAAAAAACTATAAAAAGTTTAGGATTAATCAAAGCATGCCACAAACAAACAAATAAAACTTCAGTGCTTAGAACATTATTAGTCAAATGTCTTTATGAATATCTAAAATTATCCTTAAAACTGACTTGAAAAATTAACTCAAAACCATTCCTGGTTAGATCAATAAGGTAACTGTTCACACTGGACACATTGCTTTTGAGAAGTAGCTTTTGTTTCACTTCCTTCCCTGAGCTTGTTGCAAGTAATATATGTTGCTCTGAATTCAGAGACATAGCCATGTTAGTCTGGAATATCAGTATGCAAAGGGATCTTGTAGCACCTTTGAGACTAATTGAGCAAAAGATGTTGTAGCATAAGTGTTTGCATGTCTGAAATAATCTGGTTTGACACCTTAATTGTCGTGGCTCAATGCTATGGAATTTTGGGAATTGTAATTTGTTCTGGCACCAGAGTTAAATGTCTAATAAAACTATAATTCCCAGAATTCTATAGCTTTGAGCCATGACCAATAAACTGGAAACCTGGATTACTTCTGCTGTGCGGATGCAGCCTGAGTCTACTTTGTCAGAAGTATATGCATCGGAAGAGGTAGACTACATCTACAAAAGTTTATGCTACAATTTCTTTTGTTCATTCTGAAAGGTGCTACAAGATCCCTTTGCAAATTGATATGTTTCTTGGAGAAGTTCTGGCTGTCCTAGTAGAATCTAGCTCTTTGTGAAATCTGCCTCCAAGTTACTACAACAGCTCCAGGATTATAACATAATTCTCCCTTGTCATAATTCTCCCTTTGAGGGAAAAATGAAAAACACTCTTGGTATAGTGATCCCCACCTTTCTAATGCTTTAAAAATGCAATGTGTGAATTGACTCTTTCCTGAAGAGGTAACTGATATGCTTTCACTCTGTCTTAGTTTCAGATGCAGTTTGTACCCCATGGACATGGCAAACTTCCTGTCTGCTGCCACAAACTGCAACAGAGTAGAGCAAACACATGTCTAAAGACAAGACAAGAGAAAACATTGTAAGAACACTGTTTCTCTTCCTCAAACTCTGAATGGAATCAACAACTGAGTAATCCCTTTGGAGATGCATTCTCCCCCCCTCCCTTGCATGAAAGACTAGGAGCTTTGGCTTCCCTTGTTTTTACCAAACAAGTCTTTGAAATATATCAATTCACCCTGCAGGCTTTCGGAAGTTTACTGATCCTATCAGTCTGATAGCACACAGCTCCATTCAAAAGAGAAGGACTGCAGCTCTTGACTCTTATATCTTTCTTCTGAGCAGAGTGGAGCAGAAACATTAAGCACTTAAAACTGTCCTTCACTCCCAAAAAGCCAACCAAAAAACCCTTCAAAAAGCAAATCCAAAAAACCTAAACCAACCTCCCTCCCATAAAAACCTGTAAACAGATTCAGCACTAAGATTTAAAGAACATTGCTTAGAACTCTTTCCCCATGCTGGGCTATATTTGCTGTGGCATCTTGCTTCTTTATTTGTATCATCAACAGAGAATTGTTGTGTAACAAGGAATTGATGCCCTCTGACTCCACAACCACCAGCACACCTGTCACAAATGCTCTACCCAGAATTTGTAATTCCCAAGTAAACTCACCCAACTTGAGTTCGCAAATAAGACACCAACATTATATTCCATTTGTTTACCTATTATTCATTGCTTACAATTGATGTCCTACTTCTCAGCTGAAAAAAAGGCCTACAATAAAATAGGATGAGGTACATAGAAAATAATATAATGGAATAGCAGAAGAACAAATAAAACAAAACAAGAGGGCAAAACATACAAACAGCTTTATTAACACAGGCAGGTTGTTCAATCCTTCATGAAAAGGAAGAACTTGATCAGTAACATGGACTGGACTGCTGTGTAGTTCTGGCCCTATCTGTTCTTCTTGGCAGCTTGAAAAATATTTTTTTAGTAAAAGGGCCACACTGGCAGTTGGGTTCTGGGAGGTGTAGTCCAAAAAAGTATTCCCCCCCCCCTACATTCAATGGAGAATGGGGATTTCTATGTCAAGGATACAGTGAATCTACTCTGGGCTTTATATTAGGCTTGAGAGGTTCTATTCAAAGTGGTGAGCCTTGTCCCCAAAAGATATTCAGCACCATGGATAAATCTTTTAAGGTATGGAATAAAACCCTTTCTGCCAAATGACCCAAAATGTAGGTGCCACACCAAAGAAAGCCCTTCAACCAGTTAAAATTTTCTGAGAAAAGGAGAGGGGCACCATAGGGCTGAATTTTGAAAGATGGTTGTAGAGGAGGACAAACTGTCACAGGAATTAATGATAATGAATATGAGTGCCTTGGCTTCCAGTTTGTGGAGGGGAGGGCATGTGTGCCTGCCTTCAAGTCACTTCTTGACTTATGATGACTCCATAAATTTGACAGGGTTTTCTTAGGCAAGGGACACCCAAACACTGCCTTTCTCTGAAATATATCACCAACACCAGATATTCCTTGGTGGTCCCCCATCCAAGTACTAACTAGACCTAACTGAGCTTAGCTTCCAAGATCAGGCAGGATCTGTTGCCTTCAGGACATTTAGACTCTTGACCTCCCTTGTCAAGACTTCATGATTTAGGGCAGGAGTAATGGGTCTGGAGGCCATTTTGCTGCCCCTGGATCCCCCCAAGTCCTTCTGAAATGACCCAAATAACCCCCAAGATGCCCAAATGTCCATTTCTAGTTTTGAAAGAGCAGGTATTTTATTACATTAATCAGTTTGTGGGTGAAGGTGCAGCCAATTTAAAAGGTACATTGCCAATCCTGGAAGCTTCCAACAGACAACAGTCCACCTTTTTATGCCAGAGAAAAGACAATCTGGGGGAGTTTACATGAGGCACCTTGAGCAGCCACATGGAGCTCCAGGGCCACAATTTCTTGATTCAGGATGTGCATGATCTACCTGAAACCATCTCTCACAAATTGCCTTAGGCAGAAACAAGGCCTTGAAAATGCTTTGTATTTCCAGATTCCATGTTGTCCCATTCATCTTTAACATTTTAAAGGCATGGATCTGTTGCTTATTTACAATAGTTATACAAGCCACTCAATAAAGTTGCTCTTGCAGTTGGTCAGGCTGTATAATTGTTATAGACAAGGATTCTAGATCAGCTACTTATTTATGTACTGCCTGAATAGAGAATAGAGCCCCATCACTCATAATGGCTGCTGCCCATTAAGGGCCTTTGCAGACTGCCAGAAATATTGCAAATCGAGTCCACTTTAAGGGATAAGGTTAGTGCTAGGGAGTCATAGGAATTGTTTTTTTTCTCAGACATTGAGCCTTCTCTGTCAGAGAGCTC